TCATCAGTAGGTAGGTCTGGTTGGTAGGTAGTAGATACTCGGGAAGTGGAGACCCATGTTTTGATAGCACAATGGGTAGAATAGGACAGTACCATAGCGGAGCCAAGGACAATTTGAGGAAAATAAGTCGGCTTGTTAATTGTTAATCCCACCTAGTAATCTTCAATGACCACAAATCGAATCACAAATCGAATCACAAATCTTTCTATTTCTTCTATTTCTTCTATTTCTTCTATTTCTTCTATTTCTCCTTCTATTTCTCTCTCCATTTCACTCCCATCTCCATTTCCATTTCCATCTCCATCTCCCATTTTCCTTCATCCTTACAAAAGAAGCTGGTTACCTTTCGGAGATCGATCTTCATGTTAAGGCAACGAAACAATACTTCTTTGCCTCCCCCCCCCAGACTCGTTTGAGCAACCGATAAAACGACATGGTAAACATCCCATTGGAGAGCGGCTATGAGCTCCCGGCCGCATATGTGGCCGGGCTTCGTGCTTCACCAGATTTGGTGCCTCAAAGATATGCCCATTTCCTGCCATCACCCACATCCCCGGATCATATGTCTGATGGGAACACTTTTACCCGGCTATGGTCAAGGAGTAAGTGCGGTGAGCGGTCACATAGCAGTGCATCAGTATCTAAACCATCGGATGGGACTTGGATTGACACGTCTTCTTGGCCTGAGCTCATTCCTTTCGTCGGACACCTTTCTCTCCCCTCGATGTTTTCTTGCCCATGTTCATGTTCATGCTCTCACTCTCATCCTCATCCTCATGTTCATGCTCATGCTCATGCTCATGCTCGTGCTTGGTGCTCTCATACCATACCACGCAATCGGGTCAATCATTACAGCACCCACATGCCTTTGATTCTACCCCTTCATCAATTATTAAACGACCAAACAAATACCCTGAATATAAGTTCATGCTAACCTCGCTTGGGGATAAACTAACTAGTCATGTCGGATTCTGAGAAAAGTCTATTTCTAATATTCTAGAATTCTAGTATCTTAGTATCTTGGTAATTAATAGTACTTACTATCCCACCACCTGCTCCTGATTGCCTCCGTTGAAAGTTTAACGTCAATTATCATCCGAATTCAGCGTCAGGGCATCTTCTCCCTTCATCGGTCCATCCCACCAATAGAACAAAAATTCCATCTACCGCGCCATGCTAACCGTGGAAAGCAAGGATTCTATGCTTTTTTGATCCAGATCTTTTTCCTATTCTCCAGTGAGGCTAATCTAACTAAAGGCAAGTTGCATTTAACTTGGATCGATCATCGTCCTATCATGTTCTCTTGTTCAACTTATCAACTTCTCTCGTACATTTCACCTCTCACCCAACTTCATCTTCTCATCTCCACTCCGGAATCTAGCACCCCCTCGACCCATTCTTGTATGCCCTTATCCCGGTTCCTGTTGACCCATCTAGGGTTTCCTTCTTCCCTTCCTTCCGTCATCATGCTACTACCCGCATGCTGTCTTGACCATATATTAAGACGACTTTTCCCATCGGGACTTCCGAATCTCCTTCTTATTAAGTACCTCCCAAGAATACTTTGCATATCTCTCACCGACTTTGGTTTCTATATATCAAGACTTTGAACTCATGAACATATCTGTCGTCGACAATATATATTACTTGTCTACTCTTACTTCTACCTCTTCCCTTCTCCTTACTTCATAACCCAAACTATACTCTCTAAACATCATCTATCATGTCGCCAGCTGCCATCGCAGAAGCGCATAGAGGAGATGCTTACATCGCCAACACCAAGGCGATGAGTAATGTATCTTCATATATGAATGGAGGCGCCGTTCAGCTTGGCATGAAGAGAACCACATTCCTATTTGATCGACATCTCCACAAAGAATTTCCAGTCATCGTACGAGGAAGTGGAAGCAATCTTTACACTAAAGACGGACGAGTCATATTTGATGCCACATCCGGCGCCGCTGTCTCATGTTTAGGACATGGCAACAAGCGAGTCACCAATGCCGTTTTCCAACAAATGGCATCCGGCATTCCATACCTAGCCTCGGGATTCTTTGGCCACGAAACTGTGGACGATCTTTGCGAAGAACTGATAAACGGCACTGGCCGAAAAATGGCCCGAGTCTATTTGACTGGTTCAGGTAAGTTAGCTACACAGCCAACCATGGATGTGGATGTGACCCAAGCTAATTCAACGTAGGATCCGAGGCTATGGAAGCCACATGCAAATTGGCACGACAGTACTTTTACGAAAAAGATAAATCTACTCCACGAGTCAACTTTATTGCTCGAGAAGGTTCATATCATGGCAATACCCTAGGCGCATTAGGCATGTCAGGCCACAAAGCACGCCGCGCACCCTATGCCCCCTTCCTGATGCCCAACGTTTATCACGTGTCCTCCTGCAACCCCTATCGCCAACGTCTCCCCAACGAATCCGATGCCTCATTCGTTTCTCACAAAGCCGCCGAACTCGAAGCAAAGTTTCAAGAACTCGGTCCGGAAACTGTTATCGGCTTCTGCGCCGAGCCCATCGTCGGCGCAGCTCTCGGGTGTGTCGCTGCTCTCCCCGGCTATCTAAAAGCCATGCGCGATGTATGTCATCGACACGGTGCGCTCTTCATCCTCGACGAGGTCATGTGCGGCATGGGTCGCACCGGAACCCTGCACGCATGGCAATACGAAAACGTCGTTCCCGATCTCCAAACCATTGGGAAAGGGCTCGGCGGCGGCTACCAACCCGTTGCCGGCGTACTGATTTCGCAAAAAGTCGTCAATGTTCTCTACAACGGCACTGGGCAGTTTATCCACGGACAAACATACCAAGGAATGCCTGTTCAAGCCGCTGCTGCCTTAGAAGTCCAGCGTATCATCCGTCAGCATGACGTCCTCGACAATGTCCGCACGCAAGGTGCATACCTTGGCAAACTTCTCAAACAACATCTTTCTGATCATCCTAACGTGGGAGATATTCGTGGAAGGGGACTTTTCTGGGGCATTGAATTTGTGAAAGACAAAAAGAGCAAAGTGGCCTTTGAACCCAAATTGAGCATTGCGCAAAAGATACACGACCTAGCTATCTCACATCCATACAACATGACGATGTATCCTGGGACCGGCACGGTAGATGGCATGTGTGGAGATCACATCATGTTGTCGCCGAATTACTTGGTTACGAAAGAGGATATTGAATATATCGTAAGGGTTACGGTGGATGTTATCGAAACGGTTTTTGAAAATCTATAAGGAAGAGTTTATGAAATTTACATTTTGGTCTTGGACTTGGGCTTGGGAATTATATCTTATATCATGTTTTGCTTTATTTATGGGGGGCCTTGCAAAAGGACTGAGTACAAGAGGTTGGTTTGGAGATATGAGATTCGGAGATTGGAGTTATGTTAGGGATCCAAGTGGTTTTTTGGGGGGGAGACAACATGCATGGGGATGGATTTCCTGAGAGGGTTTTTTTTTCTACTATCGTTTCTTACATGCAAGCTTCAGAGCTCTTCTGTGTTGAGCGATATGGGATGTTGGTTTGGCGTGAAGGAGAAACTTCGTTATATGGACGGCAGCATAGGTATTCCCTCGTTATTGCTTGTCTGTTTTTTATTATTATTTTGGAGGCGTTTATTGCATCATCGATAAAGAGATATATGCCTGGAATTACTTTCTATCTGTCCCCTGTATCCTACCTACAGAATAGAAAAGTCAAACAAAATCAAAAAATGATTACTCCCATGATTTGCATACACATTTCTGTTCTCGTCCCACAACTGAATTGTGATATTAGAAAATGAGTAAATGAGATGAGCTACCTGCATGATGTCATCTGTGCCATGATCATCCTTTCTAGCCGATCGGCACTTGTACCGGAGCTCCTTTCGTCCTGAGTACCATCAGATTGGTATGCTGTTCCATTCGTTCGATTGCCCATGACTTCAATGTCCCACATATGTATTTTCCGGAACTCCATGCGAATCCAGCCCTTGAATGCCCCATAATCTTAAAATCCTAATTCCTAGGAACTCTATTGATCTGGCAAGAAACCTGCCTTCTCTGACAAACTCCCTTTCCCCCGCCCCATTAATTCGCTCTGCAGCTACGATCTTATATCCATTCTCCGCCTCCCCGTGGCTCTCCCGAATCCACAATCTATTCCTCACCCATGCAATGTAGCCAGACAGCGCGCACTCATTTTTTCTCCTCTTTATCATCAGTAGTATACTCTACAACCATCCTAATATCATCCTCCAATTCTGGAAACACCTTTTCCATCTCCCCAGCAAGCACATCCCTGAAATCCCCAAACGCCTGCATTTTGCCCCTCATCAACTGATTATTTTTCCTCGCCGCCTCCACAAACTCTCTCGTATAAATATCCGGATTCCGCCCATTATCTATGTAGTGTATGACATCCTGAGGAACATATGCGAGATCCGTGGCCTTTCCCGCAACCCTATCAAACTGGGGTTTTCCGGTTGGAGGCCCCGCGGGAACCGTGGCGTGAGAAACGATTTGGAGAGAAGTGGAGAGTTGGAGGAGAGACTTCTCAAGAATCTCACGAGTGGGTCGCCCGACGCTGTCGTAATTATGTGTTTGTATCATTATTTCGTATAGGTCTTGGATAACGTTCTTGATTTCGTCTGTTGAGTGTTATTATGATGATTGTACGGTATATGAATAACTGAAAACTTACTCGTGACGACATTGTGGTCGTCATTATTGACTGGTGCCATTTTCGAGAGGGTTTTGTTACAGAAAATGTTTGGACGAATTGTTGCTTGTGGTCGATGAGGAGTTCATTGATAGATGCCCTTCCAAAAGAGATTATGTAATGCGAGTAACGAGGCTGTCAGCCCTGCATGCAAGGCTTCCGATTTCCATGAGTAACTACTGAAAGAGCCCCGTTAGCCCATCCACTTATAATTTATAATGTTATTTGGCCGTAAACACATCTACATATAAATATCGTTTTAAAACTCAAGACAATCAAAACGAGCATATCAAACATGAACAAAAAAAAAGTCAATTGTTGAATGGCCTTGTTGCAGGGCACGTTGAGTTCTTCCACAAATTCGATGTCAGATCTTCAAGCAGATCATGATCTTTGGTATAAAGTGGGATCTCCTATCCCTGTCCCTTACTCCTTGTCGTCTTCAACCACCGAAGATTCCTAATTGGCTAATAGATTCGTGTTCTCCTCCACGACCTGCACGACATCGCCAACGATCACGTAGCCCAAGCATGAACTCAGAATACAACTGATGAATTATATATCAGTGAGCCTTATTTCACATTGGAGGAAGCTGCTCAGGTCAAAGGTACAATAGTACCTTCACCAATTTTGACCGAAATCCCAGAGTTTGAAGAGCTCGAGTTTGAGGGAGGCTCGGAGCATCATGTGGGCTTACACACGCCAGCTCTAGGAGATGAGGGCCCCAAAGAAGCGACTGTCGAAACGGCAATCAAATCCTGTTTCCAGTCATTTTTTGAGAAACGTAAGGCAAGTGGTGATGTACGACCATGTGGTCCTCATGATATGGGACCGATTTACAGGGCGATTTTTATGATATCGTAAGAGGAATTAAAGGATGAAAAGTTCTTGGGGGAGATTGAGACGTGCGGAACTTAGTGAACCTAGAACCCGTGCGTCTGGGAACGTTGGAAGCAGGAAGAAGAAGCATGGGAGGCAATAATGAATGAAGCTCAATCGGTATTGATGGAGTGACTTCCAGACTCGGAAGAAATAACGTCTCACACACGCATGACATGCAGAAGGGGCTTTAAGCCTCTATATCTCCATCCAGGAGACCTGAGCAGTCGCGTGTTGACGTTACAACCATATGAATTGCACTCGGGAGTTTGAAGGCCCGCGATGGCCTTAATGAACGGCAAATGATGCACATCAAAATAACAACCTGGAGTATCCAAGCCTGAAGAAGGGCTTTGATTATCACATCTGGGGGGATCGACGAGTGTTATGAGGCTTTGGTTATTTCGACTTCGGCGGACTAATTACCTCGTAAATTGGGATGTGTAGTTCCAATGGCTTGAGACGAACAGTATTTCACTATCTCGATGGACCGAAACACAAAGCATACTTTACTATCCATTATAATGAAGCCTTTCATTATATAGGTATGTATAGGTGTGTATGTATATATATATATATATATAATACTTGACAGATATATAGAACATAAATGGCACTTCATGCATTCATAGAGACACCACAGTGAAGTGAACTGTGAGACTAATTGGAAGCGAGATTTTAGAATCTAGTACTTCCTCGGATACCTGTACTTTCTAGAACGTCTTGATGAAATGAGAAATTGTACACATCATGCCTGTAATTTGAGGAAGAGCTTCCCATCCAAGCACTAATGAAGCGGGATATCAAAAGAGATTTAGTATCATATCATATAAAACTCGCTCCACACTTCCTAAAACAAACACTGCATACCGTCTGGCCCTTCACTCCTCCAAAACTAAAACTTCTATACTCAATCTTCCTCAGAACCTCGAATCTTTCTACCTGCTCCTCTTCTCCCTTTCCAACAAACCACTCAATCAGTTCCTCCTCTGTCCAATTACAACTCGTAACAACCGCCACTCCGCCCATTCTCACTAATGCCAATACTTTCTCCTTATATCCCTCGAAAATCCTTTTCCCATTCGTATCTACCTCCTCCGACAAACTAATAGCATCGAATGTCCCCTTGTCAAGTACTATATCCCATCCTTTTGCCTGTTCCCCATTTAGGACTTTTGGAGATGGATCTTCTTTCATTATATCCCAGGTGATGAATTCGATTTCGTTTCCCTGTTCGATTCTCTCTCCCTCCCCCTTCTCTAGTTTATCCTTCGCAATACGTTTCGCAAATTCAATAGATCTTTCCGAATAATCCACACCCATCATTCTACCCACCCATTTCTTTCCCATCTCCTCGCTTTTCCTCCCTTCCTCTTCCTCCTCCTCATCACTATCCTCCTCCCCTTCCCTTAGCCTGACCAAAAAATGACCATTTCCCGTCCCTAGATCCAAGAGTCCAAAGTCTTTCCTCCTCCTCTCTTTTCCCAATCCCAATAAATCCTTCTCAAAAACCTCCCCGTTCAAAAAATCCACAACTTTATCCTCCGCAGATGAATCATCAAACCATATCGTCCCTACGTCTGTCGCGTCGAGTGCGTGGTTTGAAATTTCACGATTGTAGAGATTATCCCAACTAAGCTTCTTTGTTAACGGACATGATTTTGGATGTTAGAGAAAGCTTAGAAGGATGCGAATGTGCTGGGTAGCAGATACGGTGAGAGGAAGGAGAAAATTTGTGTAATAGAGGGGTAGTATGGAGGGGTAAATCATCTGTAAAGCGCATAAGACATACTTACTATTCTTTTGTGCCTAGAGCTGATGGATCGAGATGTGATGGCTTAGATGCTTCTGAGGCCATTTTGACATGCAATTTGTTTCAATTGAAATTTTACTCACTCTGGAGAGAAGATGTTATGCAGGAGATAATGGCATCAGTGTATCGGTGGGTATTCTCGATAGCGGCAGAATAATTTGGTTCACCGCCTAAGGAAGTCGAGACTCGTGAGAGACCGAACTGCCATAGTCGAGGGATACGTGATTCACAATTCATCGATCACAAACATTGAATCATTCAGTATATCGTTCTCATTTGATTTGTTTCCCTACGGTTTTATCGCCTACCATCTGCATATGAGGGACGTTGCTTATCAAAAACTTATTAGAAGGGACTATGCTGGATTTCATGCTCCGATCTAGAATAACAGGAAAACAGCAAGGCCACCATGCTCAACCTATTGGCGCAAAAAAATACATTTTTGTTCCCATATGCGACATCTTTATCCCCATATCTATGAGGTTTCCATAGGCTCACCAGAAATAGAAGCTGCAGCCGTAGTAGCAAAGAACCGAACATCGACATCATCATCCTTTTGCAACTTTTCCAAATTTGGTAGGATTCTTTCTTGGATAAGTTCTTGACCTCTAGCCGAGGGTGGTTCTGAGCTACCAGACTTCTCTAGCGAATAAACAGTACCCTCATCTGGCAATCTCTTGAGAACTGAGATAATCTCAGAGTATGATTTGGCGACATTGAAACGAATATTTGGAATCTCGTCGGCTACTAATTTGTCCATCATAGGTAGGATGGAATTTGAGACAACATCGAGACTGACAACTTGTGCAAGTGTCTGTGGATAAGGTTAGAATATTTTGAGCAAGGGGCAAGATCTAAAGCTTACTGTAATTGCAAAGCAGGTGGTCATTCTGTAAAGATAATTTGGATGAGCTCCCATAGCCATAACCTTTGGAATGATGGCTTCATTTGCCCAATCGACGCCAAAAACTTCGGTGAGCTTCTTCAAATTCTTTGTTGCCGCATCACGGATAGAGAAGACTGTATCTCCTAGCCAGCCCATGCAGAGCGCAGCCAACTTTTCGTCAAAGAATTGAACACCGAGTTGACTGGCCAATAGAGGAATGTACTCAATGATTGCCAAGCGAACACGCCATTGTTTATCCTCAGCAAGCTGTACAATAGCAGGAAGAAGAGATTGTGAGAGGAGATCAATGCCAATGACTTGGTTCACTAACTCCAACTTGGAGATTATATGTAAACGGACATCTGGAAACTCATCTTTGAGCATTTGCAAGAACATCGGGAGTAAGTGATCGATGGTCCTGTAGAGCTTGTAAGAATGAAGGTCATAAACAGTGAATACAAAAAGACCTACTCTTGCTTGCCAAGAATTGGTGCAAGGCCACTGATCTGGGTACCAAGGGCAGACCGAACGTGTTGAGAAGTATCAGAAACCAAGTCTTCGACAGTGGTCATGATGTCATTTAAGAGGGTGGTGTGATCGACAAGCTTGCAGAAACCTTTCCTTTTGTTTAGTGTGGTATCTCGGAAAACAGGAATGACCAGACATACCAGGAATTTGACCAGCAATTGCTGTACGGACTTCTGCTTCACTGTCTTTCAATAATTTGACGAATGCTGGTACAAGATCTCTTGTTACAACTTCATCATCAACCGCTTTTGCAATCTATACTGCATTAGCCCTGTCCACCAGAATTGTACAATCCGAGTTAAACCAACCTTCTCAAATCTATCAGCTACCATATACCTCACCCTCCAACTTTTATCTTCGATCAAACTCCTCAAGGATGTAAGTAGAACTCCATGGCTTGATTGCTGCTCCTTTGGTACGACTTCCGCAATTGCAATCAAAATTTCTACTGTCAACAAACGTACGCTATCCTGGTCGTCGCCGGCAAGGTGTTGGAACAAGGGTATCATTTCTTCCACAACTATTGTAGCGGGCATTTCCTTCACAAATTTCGACAAGTTGTTTGCGGACTGTCTTCGGACCATAGGAGTTTCGTCATGAACTAAAAGGCCAAATTGTTGCCTAAGCTGCTCTTGCATTGGAGGCGATGCCTTTTTGTATGGTACGTTATATAATCCTGTGGCGGAGATCTTTGAGGTGAACCAGTCGGCTTTTGAAAGTCGAATCGTGAGGGGAATGAAGTACTCTTCGACTTGTTGTGAGGATAGCTCCTCGCATATCTTGTTTAAAGATTCCACGGCCTAATCCGGTCAGCATAGCCATAACTTCATGTCACTGCTATTGACAAACCTTTTCTCGCACCAGGGGTTCCTCGATGGCCGCGAGATTCTCGAGGGGTGAAAGAAGAACATGGCCGAACTCTGGTCCGCCAACATATTCTACAAAGTTTCCGAGTTCCTCGCTCAAAGCCGTGAGAACTTCGTCTTCATCTTCGACGGATTCTACATAATATCGTCAACCATTGTACTAGAATGTAGTTCCATATTGCACGCCATACCATCTAAGAAGGGAATCAACTCGTCTCTTGTGCGATCTGCTCCAAGTGCGAGGGCGATTGTTGACAGTCGATGAATGGCATTCAGTCTTAAAGTAACGTCGTCATGCTAATGAGCTATCAGTACTGCGCAACAAAGCCTTGTCCTTTGAAGGTGATGCGCCTTGGTTCAATACCTTTAATTCATCAATGAGAACAGCTATGGGATAGAGCTCGTCAGTCTTATCTGGGGCGTCCGCCATTGTGAAGATATGTAAAAGTCTTTAGGGAGTGAATTCGGTGGTTTAGTGAGGTGAGGGTGTTGGATTTGTTTACTCTGTATTCGTGGTCGAGAATATTTAGGAGGTTATCGCGTGGTCGTTGGTTCCTGTTGATAGATTGACGGAACTTTGTAATTAATCTCCGGGACTAAGAAAAAGCGGGAGAGGTGAATGAATCTTATGATATAATCCAGATCTAGGGACTGCCGATGACATGTCAGTGAGGTCTACGAGATATCTGGGTGGCATGTGGTGGGGGAAGCAACGAAGGACTCTTTGTAAATAGATCCAGACTTTGACTTGATGGTGAAAGAAAAAACCTATTCGAAACGTACCTTTAAAACACACTGCTGCAAAGAGGATGAAATTGAAATTTAAAGTAGCGACGCTGGACAAACGCTTTAAAATTCAGAAGAGGTGATAGATTTAATGTTGGTTGGCAGCGACAGCTCTCGGGGTTTGAACCTTTAAGAATCAACCATCGACCCATTGATATGTAAGCCTCAGGCATATACGTACACCTCGCAGTTCAGACCCCTCTGACACAACCCCACCAATAATTATTTCGACTCATAACTCATTGCTCATATTGATTCAAGACATTGTGAAGCAAATATTGCAACCGCAACTAACCAGTCAAGATGCCCACCATCAGCGTTGACAAAGCGAAGCTCTACGAAGCTCTCGGGCAAGAGTGAGTAAACAATTTTGTGACTTCGCAACTTGCCATATATGTCGTAGTAAACTAAATTAAACTTTAGGTATACCACAGAGGAGTTCGAGGAGTTATGTTTCGAGTTTGGAATTGAATTGGACGAGGACACATCAAATTCGGAAAGACCAATAGTCAACGGAAAGCAAGAACCTGCACAACTTAAAATCGAAATCCCCGCGAATCGATATGATATGCTCTGTTTTGAGGGCATAGCTCTCATGCTGAATGTCTTCAGAGAGAAGACACCCTTCCCAAACTATAGATTGGTTAAGCCTGAGAGTGGAAATTTAGAGACCTTGACAGTTCACCAAGATACTATGAAAGTGCGACCATACGTCTCGGCGTCAATCCTGCGAAATGTTACTTTCACTCAAGATGGTTATGACTCCTTCATCTCGCTGCAGGACAAACTACACCAGAATCTTGCCCGACAGCGCACTTTGGTTGCGATTGGCACACATGATATGAATACAGTCAAAGGACCTTTCACATACGAGGCACTTCCACCAAAAGATATCGTTTTCACACCTTTGAACCAAACTAAGGAGATGAACGCGGAGGAATTGATGCAATTCTATGAGAACGACAAACACTTGGGGAAATACCTACACATTATTCGCGACAAACCAGTATATCCAGTTATTTACGACTCAAATCGCACTGTCATGTCTATGCCTCCAATCATTAACGGAGATCATTCCAAAATTACTTTGAATACCAAGAATGTTTTCATTGAGATGACTGGTACGGACCGCACAAAACTAGAAATCGTAAACAATATTATAGTCTCTATGTTCTCTCAATACTGCGCGGAACCATTCACAATTGAGCCCGTCGAGATTATTTCGGAGCACAACCAGGAAACCCGAACAACTCCCAACCTCAGCCCACGGGAAACTGAGGCTGAGGTCGACTATATCAACAACTGCTGTGGTCTCTCAGAATCCCCAGAAAGGATTTGTGAGCTTCTCAAGAAAATGTGCTTATCCGCGAAACCTTCCTCAAAGGATAAAAATTTACTGGATGTCTCGATACCAACAACCAGAGCCGATGTTCTTCACCAATGTGACATCATGGAAGACGTGGCTATTGCTTACGGCTTCAACAATCTTCCCCGTACATCCCCCAACAAAGCCTCGACAATTGCTCAACCCCTCCCAATCAACAAACTTGGTGACATAGTTAGAACGGAAACCGCCATGGCAGGCTGGAGCGAAGTCATGCCACTGATTCTCTGCTCCCATGACGAGAATTTCGCTTGGCTCAACCGCAAAGATGATGGCACTACAGCTGTTCGACTTGCCAACCCCAAGACCGCTGAATATCAAGTTGTTCGCACATCCCTCCTCCCCGGTCTCCTGAAAACCATCCGTGAAAATAAGAAGCACAGTCTCCCCCTCAAAGTCTTCGAAGTATCCGACGTTGCATTCAAAGATTTGAGCTTGGAACGTAAATCGCGCAACGAGCGTCATTTCGCAGCAGCCTGGTACGGCAAAACTAGTGGTTTCGAAGTTGTTCATGGGTTACTTGATCGCATTCTGCTTATGTTGCAAACCGCATTCATTACGCACGAAGAGGGGTTAGAGGGCAAGAAACAGGATTTCGCAATCAAGGAGAACCCAACAAAACCAGATGGATACTGGATTGAAGAGATTGATGAGCCAACCTTCTTTGCTGGTCATGCGGCTGCGATCTATTTGCGGCTGGGAGGCAAGGAGGTGCGTGTTGGAGAGTTTGGTATCTTGCATCCTACCGTTTTGGATAAATTCGAATTGAGGTAAGTCTATGTCTGTTCGTAAATTTGAGAACGTAACATACTAATAGGCACTAGATATCCTGTCAGTACTTTGGAGATCAACCTCGAAGTCTTCTTATAAGCCATCAAATCACATCAATCGCACACAGTACGAAAGGCGAGCTAGAATATTCTCAAAAGATGGCATTGATTCGCAGCTTTGCTTTTGCTATTTAGCTACTAGAATAGCGTGTCTGATGTATGAATAATGAGTAAAAAGTATCAAAAAATTATGAAACGTTATAACATTTTTTCGTCATTGTGACAACGTTTCTCTACCAGTACGCCTTTACTCCTACAGTGCCTTGGGAAGATATAATCAGAAAAATGTGTTCTCCCATTTCCTTCCTGTCCCTTTCATCCGTCTCTCAGAAACACACATTTCCCAGCTCGGTTTAAACGCCAGCCTGGATAGGCAATTTCCTAATCATGCATCCCAAAACTAACAATCGTATGATATCATCATTGCATCTCAACTTCCATTTCCATTTCCTTACTATTCCCATTCAGACTTACCGGACCGCTCTGGTTCGTACTTCCCATGCTTCCCAACCCTCCCAGTCCCGTTGCTTTCCCAATTCCCAGCCCCGCAATTCCATCTCTCAGACTTGCAAATGGATTTCCAGTAACAGTTGTCGTCCCATTTGAGCCTCGCCTCGTCGTAGTCCCCGCTTCCAGGCCCGCAAGAACCGTACGACCGGGTGGCGCTCCTGGCGGCGAACTTACACTTGCAATCGTATTAAGTCCGTTACTGTTATTTGTACTGAGTGCTAGATATCTTTCCATGGCAGGATTATGCGGTCCGTTCATTTCTTCGTCAGTGCGGTTAAATACTTGATGCCACCATCTTACATCCTCTAAATTAGGGAAGATCAAGCGTTCTTTCCCTTTAACGTGATCGTCTATTTCTCCGTCGTAGTCCTTGTTAGTAAACTCGGGTTTCTTGGACAAGAAATATGCCCAGACGCTCTTAGTGCGTTCTTTGACGCGAGCGTCTACACGAGACTTTTCATTATTGTAGAGGAATGTCCCATACTGACAGGAATAGAGATGATAGAGAAGTCGGCGAAGGAATCTTTCATTAAATTCGAAGCGAGTAGGATGTTGACGGAGAAGCTGATAGGTTGCATCTAGGAACTGATGGAAGACTGGACTAGTTTCATTGGGCTTGGTAACATCACTTTGAGGGAGTGTGTCTAAAATAGGTCTCTTGGGAGATTGATCAACTGTGACCTCATCTGCTTCATCAACATTCTCTTGGCTGTGGTTACTTTTATTGAAGAATCGTTTGGCGCTTAACAAAGCATTTTCAATAGCATCTCCGCGCCCGTCAGTATTCCCACCTGGCTGTATTGCTGAGCCAGCAAGAGCATCGTTTTGTGTTACAAACCACTTCTCATGATTCAAGAATCCAGATCTATGTTGAAACATATGCCCGAAACTCAGCCAGTCCTTTTCTACTAGTACTATGAATCCTTCTATAGTTCTGTAGTAAGGGTCGAGCATCAACTGGGATAGAGCACTCAGCTGACTCGTTCTATCCCAGCCATCTGAGCAGTGAATAAGGACATGCGAATGTTGTATACCGACTTGCCTGGCGATTAATGCCGCTCCATCAAGAATACCAGTGATGTGTTTTATCCAACCACTCTTTGCCAAGAGCTCTCGACTTGGAGGAAGAGGGGACACATCAGCATCCTTAATAGCGTCAACCACTTTCGCCAGAGAGTCTCGCATAACATGAATGTTTGCAATATTCAAATATGCCTTCTTAGCAAGTGGATAGTATTCCATTTTTTCCGTACCAAAGCCATTCACCTGATTAGCGTAAGCATTAACCTGAGGTCTTGCATCCACAATCAGATTGTTCTGTTGTGCCCCATAAACTTGAGGTTTCTCTGTTATGATTTCGATATTTGACGCAGATGCAAGCATCTCATCCTCATAACGTTCCGTATCTGTCACTTCTCCATTGTTCGGTGTACTGATATCGGCTTGACTAGAAGCTGGACTATTTCTAGATGCCGCTGGAGATACCGAGTCCACCTCATCGACCTGCGATGTTGCCGAAAAACATGCGCTAACCAGCTTCTCATCCTGGACACTGCGGGCTTGTCGCATACCAGTCCGAGGTTGTGAGCATCTTGTCAAAGCGCAATTATTGACAGGATGTAAATATGTTAGAACTGGTATACGAGCCCTCGAACGATGCTGGGCAGCATGTTTAATTGTGATGTCAGAGACAGATGAAGGGACTGGGAGTAACGCTGGGTACGTAGGAGAGAAGGCGTAATCGTGATTCATCTTAGACAACCTCCATCCTCTGTCAACCCCCTTCTCACTTATTCCTAAACGTTTCCATTCTGCCTTCGGATCGTATACATCCCATCCGTTTATCTGCTTTTCCGCCCCATGCGCTTTATAACTAAACGCATATAACCTTTCAATACTGCCCAGCTTGCACGTTGAATT